GAGAGCATGAACTACTCATATCATAATATTGGCATTGTAACCAACCGTAGTTAGTTTACGCTATCACTGTTTGCAGTTGTTGTTACCTGCTTGATCATTTGAGCCATCTCCTTCATTAAGTTACTTGTTTTTGCTTGCTTTAATACACCATTATGTTTATTAATCTTACAACCAAATAAGGTGGGTTTATGGAAAGTTTACAACGTTCCGCTGTACATGTTGCAAAAAACCCAATCAAAAACATCGTAGTTGCTGGCAATATGCAACGAAAACAGTTTCTGGACTGCTAACTGGTGACCACTCAATATTTATCAACAGGATCGACCAAGAAGTGAACGCCCTCACACAAAGAAAAATAAATGTGTCACGATCATGGTCGATATACATTTTGAACTTTTCAGGTATTCGGTGCGCCACCTAATCGTAGCACCTACAGATAACACGTTTCACGTGTGTGATGACTGACTGAGCCTTAGTTAATCACGATTCCTTTTATCATGTTGATCTCACATGTTTTACAGAACAAACACTAAATACGATCAGCACACATTACAACCAGGTTGGTATTTTTCAAAGCGAAAACGTATTCACTTGGATGCAATCGCTTATCAACATGGTTAGTCCAAGGCTTAACTTTCTGAAAACAACTTCAATGTTTTCTGTTCAAACGAATAGCGTTGTGAACACTTCCAGTAGAAGCTAAATATTTGTCGATGTGAAGGTGTTTACGAGCAACTTCCTGCACATTGTTTATTAATTCCACATCACACGGTATCTAAACTCTTCGACCGAAACATATATACCTATAAAAATATGGCAGAAGTGAAACTGAACTTATAATTGCCAAAATGTTTGATTAGTTGTGTTAAGTTTGTCTTACATTGTTTCTACTTGCTCCCTTTCCACTCCTTTGTATATTGTTTCATACTACTTATTTACATTAAGTAAGCAGTTGTATTCCCAGCAATTTTTAAACTTATGTTGTAATGTAAGTTGAAGTGTAATATTCTGAAATGTTCACATATACTTATGACGTCTATTGTATTTATCATTATAATTACCGTGCCTTAATCACTGTAGCGGTTATCCACGGTTTTATGCATTTGTTTAAACTCAACAGTGTTCATATTGTTTTGCTCTTGGTTCGCGTTTCGGTTGTTCGTAAACTGCTATCAAATTTAGACACAGCTATCAGCTCACTTTTATACTATCGTATGTTACTGTTACAGGAAGCCTTTTTATTTTCATACTTGAAGGACGTGTTTAAACGCCCCAGACACCTCACAAGTTGAGGCTTGTAACTTACTTTTGTGTATTATTCAATAAAGAACTGCTTTTGTAAACAAATAGTTGTTTTGTAGACTTCGGGTTTTCGCGTATCTCAATCGGGTGATTTGGACGCTTCGATAGATCTAAGAGTTCTCAACTTTGGTCCGAACTGTTGTGGATACTCGCTGTAACAAACTCTGGTTGGAATTCGGTTTGGTTAATTTGATCCAACAATGACAAGGACGAGAAAAATGAAGTACAATGTCGACAGTTCTGATGATACAGACGACTCAAGTGCTGAAAATACTGTTCTTTCAGTTTCTAAGTTGAACTCACCTACTTCTTTATATCTTGCTTTTGATAATGTTAAACCAAACCCCAAAGATTGCTGTCCTTTAGTAGATACCTAAGTAGAGACTGGATGTAGAATAGAAGATGAAGCAGTTTCTAGGGAAAAAGATGTAGAGATGATTGAGTTAGAGATTCGGGAGCTTCAACTCCGTAGGTGATTGTTGGAATTATCACCGAAACCTTTAAACAAAGTGAGAAAATCAAGGGAGATTACCGAATTATCTGGGTCTCGACATTTTCACTGTGACTACGGCTATGCACCGCTACACCAAAGCAGCTATGGGCGATGAGTTGGAAATTAAAGCACACTTAGATAGCATCAAGTCGCTATTCATGACGGCAAGCCTACCGAAGATAGAGAACATGAAATTCGACGGAAGTCCTCTAAAGTTTCGGACGTTCATGAAGGGATTCAGTGCTAACATCGCCGACAGAGTAAACGATGACACTCAGCGATTGATGTACTTGATACACTATTGTGAAGGTATAGCAAAAGATGCTATAGAACACTGTGTGCAATGTTGCATTGACAGCTCCATTGATGTCAAATGATCTCAGTTTAACAAGTGGAAACGAATATGGAAATCTTCCGGAATTCTGGATAGAAAAGGCTTATCAACAGCCACTCTAAAGTCTAAGTAAATTGAAGTCAAATGTTCTCAATGCAATCTCTGTGTATGTTTATGATCTTTTAACTAGTAAATGTTTTTTCTTGTGTACACTATGTACTATGACATCTAGTCAAATTCACTGTTCACTTCACTTGTTGAAATCATCAGTCAATTGAAGCTAGACCACCTTGGAAATATTTCTTGTGTACACTATGAAATGCTTTAAATAATCAAATGTTGCCAGATCTTGATTAAATTGTGTGAACAGTGAAATATGGTTGTTAGTTTTCAGTGTCCGCCTCGATATAATTATCCGGATGTAACACAAATCTATGGAAACGATAGTTGGACGCACATTGGATGAACACATACATACCATTCACTTCGTTTCCTTAACTGGATGAACCGACAACCACGAATGACAGACTTCAAATGTTAACCTTTGTCAAAAACAGGAGTAAACTGCTTCGAAATACATGTTCACAGATTTCATTCAAACATGTTGATCCTGACAGAAATATATTTCTGTTGGTAAGTCACTGGAGCATCAATGATTCGAGAGTCATCATAATCATCCCATCATTCGATGAGATTTTGTGAGTAAAGTAAATTGGACGCAACTGAAACTCCGAGACCTATTAGAACAACCATAAAAGATGTTTAAGTATTTACAATTAACTGTCTACTTAAGCTACTGAATGTTCGTTGGCCAGATACCATCAGCAACAGCCTACATTCGGAGAGAACATATTAGCAATTGACTTTGGAGGTGGATAGGGCGCACATTGAGGAAATCACTTAACACCATTACTCAGAAAGCCCCAACTTGGAATCTTGAAGCGAAGCAGAGAATTGGAAGGCTAAAGAACATAGTGCAGAAAATCGAAAACGGATATAAAAAAGATGAGTAGAAACTGATGAAACTGAAAAAGAATTGTCCAGTACAGATTTAGATGTGTTATAAATTGTCAAACAGATATTTGCAAGAGAAATCGCACACAAAACGAATGAACGAAATCGGTGGATTCCTTCAAAAGTTAAGGTGAAAAATGTATTGACGAAATTCGCTGTCTCAGGCATTTCTATAGGATGTCGACACGCGGACTTTCTATACGATGTTTCCAGGTCACATTTTCTTTCATAACTGTTGAACCTATTAATATTTTTCAAGGGGGCGTTCTTTGTGTTGCTTATCTAATTGAGTGCTATTCAATGATGTATAATATGTACACGTGCATTGAGACTTGTGCTTGACGATTTATACCTGCTCTTACTCGCTATGTTATATAGGGATACTACCCCTAACTATCGGTCTGAAAAGTCGGACAAATGAAAATCTCGCAAATGCGACGAAAATGATCTCGGTGGTGTTGTAATAGTATTCCGACAGCAGACAATGGGTTTTAAGCGTTCTTCAAGCCCTAACGCTTCAGGATGGGCTGTTTCGTTTACTAGCCTACATATGTGCGGTATACTGTACAAGTTATACAGCAGAGTTAAACTAGTCAGTCAGTGTTCAGAGTCGATGTACGAGGATTAATAGAAATTGAAGACGAAGATTATGTATGAATACAGTGATCTTGAGTGCTCTTAGAGGTATGAGAGAGTTCATCACTTCCCAGTTGCCCACACCATGGAAGGGCTCTTCTGACATACCTGTAAACGAAATTGCTTTAGAGGTGATCTTAGTGACCTGAAAGCGTAACCGCAGTGCCCAAGGGACAACTGCTTGCGTAATTTCCGTGTTAGCTCCCCACCTGTTGAGACCTTAACGCCGGAGACGGATATCTATGGGATAAGGTGAGATTTGCATTTCTAGGGTAGGCCTTTCCTAACCACACCCCTCCTTCTGGGAAGGTAGTATCGTTGTTATACTGGTTGTCTGAAGAAAACCACGTTACTGCCATCACACTTCTGTACAGTCTGTAGTACGACTTCGCCTTCGGACCTTGAGTTTTTTGCTTTTAGTCTTACCGGTCTTCAACCGATCTATCTGGCATGGTAGGTGTTATAATTCTCTCTTATTACAACCCAGCTATTCTTATTACCTTGTATTCTCGGACACCAATTCACTCGACAAGTCCCCAAATCAGAACACGGCTGAACAGGAAAGATTATATTCCAAATAACAAGGTTAGATGGAAGTAAGAAACACACTAGGAAAAACGTTAGTATATTTATAGTTTTTACATGAGAAGATTTCTAGAGTATTCTCCAAGTATCGACTACCGCTGACTGGCTAATTCTTATCCAATCAGCATGCGCCAAAGTAATCATGCATTAAGCATGCTTTAATCCAATCTATGTTCCAACAACAGTAGGACATTGAAGAACGATTGTTTCAGCCAATATAGCTCGATTGATTCATTACAATAGGCAAGCCCAACCACCATATCCAGGTAGCAACAACGATCGGGAGAGTTAAACTAGGAAAGTTGTGTTAAACTCCAGTACTCAAACTTATGATCCCAATTACAACAATAAAAAACGAGTGATATTTGAATAAATATTGACTTTCATTAACAAACATCACAACATTGTACAATAAGTTGGATCCAATCGACTACTAAACCAATATGAAAATAAAAGACAGGCACCTATTGATGTATTCAGCATTCATAAGTACATATCACAATACAATATAATAAACTAATTAATGATATACATGAATAAATATAGAGGTAGAATAAAGAGATAAAATTGTAAGAAGTAAAACTTTATACAACAGTGTAATGAATGTTGAAAAGAAAAGAATTTACATTATCATGTTTAAACCCATTCTTTAGGATTTTTAAGCACCTCAATGAGTGATTGATTACGTGGATCCTGTGAATTGTCATAACAATAGTTCCATTGCTAAAATAACAATAATGATAATGTTAGGAATAAAGAAAGAGAAAACTTAGAATCAGCGAATGAAAAGAAAGAAAACATTCTTTAATGCTCTGAACAGTTATTTACTTCTTATTTTTTAGCCCTCAAATGCCCTGGTACGGTCGAGAGTGGGGAGAGTCAGCTCTCGATTTCGAAATGCTTTCAAATGGCAACGTGTATACAACCATTGACAGGGAAGTCCTACTCACTGCTTTCTCGCCACTGGGTGATTTTTACGAAATTTAGAGAATGAAAAGTGAATGTCCGGCTCTTTACCCGGGTTGGTGGATATGGAGGATCCACCTACGGGAGTTGGAAAACCCTCATTCCAAACTAATGATGCACATGGGATTCAGCATCCTAAGGAAACAAATGGCGTATGAACCAATCGCTGTTCACTGGCTACCATTGGACTGCATCTCCTGACGTTGTTCCCCTGCCTTGTGTATTAGATTTTTAGGTCGAAGGCTCCAGGTATGGTCCTCCAAGGAAACTACCTGCTTCGGTCTGCGCACTCGGGCAGTATCACAGCCCACAACACAAGTCAAGCGACTTATGTGGCGCATATCTAGTTAGTGCCTACTTGTATAACTGTTTGCGTTTAAATAAATAAAAAACAAAGTGCTCCTTATTTTAGAACTGTTCATCGACATACATCTATGGATTACTACTCATCACAGAAATATGTTCAGGATATTTGTCTCACCTCACATTGAGGGTGATACACTTTTTAGGTCGTGTGGTTAGCAGCATTTCCAATTGTAGTCAATCTTTGAATGCATACTAGCTAGTGATAAGTTTCAAACTAAAACATGCTTTGCTTCGTCTACGATACTCAGGGCAAGTTCAGAAACTTTGTTATTCCGTACATTTGTTCATACGATCAACCGGTCACGGAAATATTCACATTTTAACTGTTCATCATACATAGCCACCATCAAACTGACAATGATACAGGGCACCATCATGATTCTCAACTTGGTTGCTATTACGTCTCCTTGCTAGCTACTTAATTGGGAACAATGCTCCTGATGGCTTTTCATCCAACCACTCGCAGCTACTGAAAACACAGGAGAAAACCAATGGTTTGTCCCCGCTTTAACCGATGATAATACGGAGAAAAACGTGCAGGTTTTTATATAATTATGTAGAATGTAATTCCAAACAGACTATTTAGAATATGTTTATTTATTTATTTATTTAAACACATAAACATTAACACAAGGAGGCACCAAATAGATCATTCGACTTGTGGGACGGCTGGGATACTGTCCGGGTGCCCAGACCGAAGCAGGTGGTTTTCTCAGGGGGCCACTACCTGAGCCTTTGACCTAAATGTCTAACCCACAAGGCAGTGGAGCATCGCAAGGAGATGCAGTCCCATGAAAGCCGGTAACCAACAATTGGTTCATACGCCATTTGTTCCCGCATGATACTGGAGTCCATGTGCACCATTGGTTTGGAATCGGGTTAAATCGTCGGGCATTCGCCTTTCATCCTCTCGATTTCGCAAACAAAACCCCCGCCACGAGAAGACAGTGAGTAGGACTTCCCTGGCAGAGGCTGTATACGCTTGGCCGTGTGAGAGCATTTCGAGAGGGAGGGAGGGCCCACCCCACTCTCGGCCATACCAGGGCATTTGGGGACATTTAGAATATGAGTCTCATAACACCTAATTCAACTATATGAGCGCATTTTAAATGCTAGAACTGCTCTATAACACTGTTAGTGTCCTCCTAGAATAATCGTCAAGAGACAACAGTCTGTAATGTACAAAGTACAAATTGGAAGAGACATGTGGATTAGATGAGAACAAATAATAAATGCAATTACCCTTGGACGTACATCTTGATACCATTGAAATGAAGACGAACAAATTAACAACCCGCCAGGAAATCACATCCGAGAGGAGACATCTTTTATCACAAGGATGGGAAAATGTGTCCAGTGAAGCGTCTATAACTCAATCCTCGAAAATTCCGGCATAATTAAATTCGAGAAAAGTGTTGGGAAACATATAAAACAACTCATACTAAATCCCGATTGAAATAAATTGGTTAACAAACGTCGACTGATTAACCTGTGTCAATATATATCCCAGACCTATAAGAGCACAATTACATACCGAACTACCCAGCGATAACATGTTTGACTGAAACAGTGAGTGATGTGCGTAAGAAACTCGCTATACTGATGAGCGAAAAAAGCACCCAAACACCTGAAATTCTATATGATATCCATTAAATGTTATACGCACTACTACTAATACTACTACTTATCAGCAGAATGTGTCTACTTACAAAACATGTGTCATTCAACTTCTTAATAAAAGTAGACTTATCCTCCCTCTCAATGAGTAGTATACCGACTAGTAGAAAACTAACTATTCAATATTAAACTATATGTACTTTGATCTGGAGTCATTGGTCAAGCCTAATGATAATAAACGTCAAAATCACATGAAATAATTGACAAAACAGAGAAAATAGTAAATTAACTTCCAACTTACAGCATAACGTGGTAAAGACATTAAAATACTTTCAATACGAGCTTCTGGAGTGGCTAGACCAAATTTAGTGCCACGATCATAGATTAAATTGAATTCAACATAACGTCCACGTCTTACCAACTGCCATTCACTGGCAAATAAAAGGTAAGAAAATATAAGTAAGGAACAATTAATAAATTTACCGGTAGAATAAATAACACACACAAACATGTAATGAAATTGGATGATTCATTTATGATTTAATGAAGTGTATGAGATCATTGAATTACTCACTGAATCAGTAATTATCAACATAAAACTTGGCATATCGGTTCAAGTTGTCATATCACATCAGCACCAGTCAGTCAGTCAGCTACAACGTAAGACCAGGCACATATATGCATCGGTCCAAGTTGCCATACCGCATTAGCACAACAAGATGAACACCGGATTCATAGGGGTAGTTAAGTCAATGGTGGTAATATATAAAAGATTGCGTATAAGGATATAGTACAGGAAGAAAGAATTATTTCGTAGAGATAAAGATATGAAGCAATTTTCATCTCACAGTTTAACGAAAGACAAAGAGTGTATACACCTACACCATTCTGAGCCATGACGCCAAGAGTCTCCAACCAATGGTTACGATAGTCAGGTGGAGCACAAACAAGAAGTTTGCATCTACCAACATGGCTCAGACCAGAACTTAGTGACTTCAAGCACTGATGCCACGTCTTGGTTTGGCTGCCCCTAACTTTCTTCCAACCATCCCCAACACCAGTTGGCATTGCACGTCGTGGTAATCGGTGTTCAGGCATACGCAACACAACACGTGACCCAACCATATCAGTCGATGAAGATTCACAGCTGATATACCAACATCCCCTAATATCCTGCGCTCCTAGCCTCACTAGTACTTGCCCGTTGATTCCAGCAGATGCCAGTAATATTTTTTAAGTGTTAAATTACTGAGTTAAAAGTTTAGATTTCATCTCACTTATTTTGGTTTACCCAGTCATTTAGTCATATGTAGAGTAGAATCTAAAACAAGCGTATCAGTTTAAATTACCCCACACCATGTTAGCACAGTAAGATAGAATGATTTTACTACAAATCCCAGAGTAGTAGAATTGGCAAAAGTTATAAGTAACAGTAAAAAAAAGGGATTAGCTACAGAAAATGGAAAAAAACGTATGATAGGATTTTTGAACTCAAATTCTAAAACAAAACAAGGAGTGAGTAAACCTGCACTATTGATTCTGAGCAACGACACACAAATTCTAATTGTGGGTTACCATAATCACATAGACACAAACCATTTAGTCTATACCTAACTATATGGCTTAATTCAACAGTCAATGAATCCAAGTCTTGGATTGGTCATCTTCAGTTTTCTTTAAAACTACTTGGACAACATCACCAGTCAAGATAGGAAATAGTCTGGTATATAAAACACATGTTCTAAGCATCTCATTTGATGGACATTCACTACCTCATCAACCGATTCGCCATATTTACCTAGTATCCTATGCATAAACGTGGTCCCAAAATACACGAGCAATACTTTGAAGACACTTACTAGTAGTGTGAGAATATTCATAACTCTTAATGACCGTTTCCCATTCATAAAGTAGAACAAAATGTTCCAGCAATATCTATAATTCGTGATAAACAATTTAAATATGTTTTTGACTGAGATCATGAGTCGGTTGATTTTAGAGCACTATGGAAAACCTGGAAGCATTCGATGGCTGTTTCGTCCGATTCTGGGACTCCTCAGCGGTGCGCACCCACGATCCCGCTCGCAGGATTCGAACCCACAATAGGACAAAGTGGCTGTCCAGTACTTCCACGCTTTCAATGGTGGTCTAACATCAATCGGTTCATGATCTCAATCAAAAACTTAGTAATCTACACAACCTTATATTGATAATTAAAATATTCATTAAACAAATCGAGTACTTAAAATGGTACTTGATAAATGAACTACACTGTATATTACATAATTCCGTAAGAGAGTTATCCGAGAACTGATATATATAAACACATTTATGTAAAGAATATTTTCACGTAAAATAGTATGTTATAAGTAAGATTTACCGTTCTTTGTTAGTATACTTTAAATGCTTTCGTTTTTCAACAATCGGTAGGTAAGCTGGAATGATTGCTTCAGCACACGACTAGAAATAATAAAATCAAAAGGCATGGAGAAATAGTGTTTTATTTACAATTAGTTTATTGTATAATTCGAATTAGTTTTTCTAGTTAGCGCCTTTTTTAAAGAGGACACATATTGCATTGAGGAAAGCACCTAACTGTGTCACAAGGCAAGCCCTCAACATGGAATCCTCAGGGTCAAAGGAGAAGAGGAAGACCAAAAAACACATTACGCCGAGAAATGAAGACAGATATGAGAAAAATGAACAACAATTGGATAGAACTAGAAAAGAAGGCTCAGGACAGTGTGGGTTGAAGAATGCTGAACGGCGGCCTATTCTCCACTGGGAGTAACAGGCGTAAGTATGTATTGCATAACTTAATATGAAAATCTCTTTAAACACTTTTAGTCACTAAAACAGTCGGCAATTACTTTAACAGTGTTGAGGATTCCCTAAAATATCCTTCATCAAATACTTCAACAACCTATAAAACATCTTGAAGCATTTTATCCAGCTAGTGTTGAAAAGAAGTATCTCCGAAATATCTAGGAAACGGAAAATCATCCATCACAATTTTGATTAGATGATTGAGTACATCGTTACTATATTTAGTATGTTTCCAGAAAGTTCTAGAAGATCAAGGCCACGTGTAACTCTATAAATACAGTCGATTCTCCATACATGAACTAAATATGAAGTGAAGCTCATACGCTTTCTTCACTTTTTTTAGTGTATATATGGTCTGGAGTTATAGGAAGTTCGTAAAAACTGTCCAAATAACAGGAATAAGATTACAAATCGACCGCGAACCCCCGGTCGAGTAGAAAAATTAATGGTTACTAGAAATAAACACTAGCATATCTGTTGCAATGAGAATTGAAGATATGACATGCATTGAAGACAGTGACTTTTGTTACTATGCGATTAATAAAATATATTTATCCAGAATTATCAAATGTTATGACCTAAGAGTTGCTATAAACAAGATCCTCTGTAATAGGCTCCTCCTCTTAAAGCTATTAACTGATGAAATCACATTAACCTATAGACACTTTCGTTGTTCACAGATCCAGAAACATGAGAAATGATGAGGTTGCAAGTAGTTTCCTAAATATGGGTTAATCTGTGATGATGACCTCATAGGTTACTTTGGTGAGTCCATAAGAAAAAATCGCCTTACCGTAGGGAGACTGAGTCATATTGTAACGTTGCACGCCATTATAAAATAACCCCTTGGATTCTTGGGAGCTCAATATAAAAGATAACGTGTGAAAGAATTTTAAGAACTTGCGTCTAAATTTCATCGAATAATTTCACGGTATTTGGGCGCCGAGTTGATGTGAGACATTAAAGAGGAAGAGGGTATTTGTAAAATCTCAGCCAATTAATTTGAAGTAAATCAAACGTTTCGCCTGGCAATCTGGTCTAAGCTTTTTCAAGGAAATATAATCAAACGTCAAAATTATCGAGTGAGCTTTCTCCAATGAGCGTCATTTTGTTTCGCTTTGCTTTTTCGCTTGGTTTCTCTGAACGTCTGTCTCGATTGACGACTGTATGAAATATAAGTATCACATTTGACATACTTAATTTCATTATTCAATAACGCGATTTAAGTCGATGATTGTATACGAGGTTTGGTGACATATATATTTCGATAGCAAACATTCGTCCTAAATGGAGTCAGATACTGGCTCACTAAATCGGTGAGTCCGTCGACAACATCATCGTACGATCTAATTTCTCAAAATGAAGAACCATGAAATAAGTACAGTTTTGGTGTTTTCTTCTCAATTCTCGACTACTTATTTGTTCAAAATATTGGGATGATTAGAGCAGTTTATACATTAGTTAAGATGTGTCAAGGATAGAAACCTACACTGAGATGGTGGAGAAGATTTGTAGTCCAGGTGGATGATTTTGATGGAGTTTTGCTCTCTGAGCTGCATGGTTTGGTTATGGAGCTTTCATCGTTCTTCTGAACGGCATTATCAGCACAAACTTCAGGAAGAAGTGAAGCGCTCAAATTTCTCTATATATCGCTCACAGCTTGTCCTGTAGACCTCGATGTTAACTGGTTCTTGTTTACCTTAAATCTATCATTGTTGTTGATATGTGTGGGTCGGCTTCCGATATACTTGAGTCTCCAATTTTCCTGTGTCGGTTCTGGGGATTCATAAAGGAGCATATAGGAAGTCGACCCACACATATCAAATTCTCAACTACTATAGCAACAACTTAAGAGCTCACAAAATCAACTGCGTACAAACTATTCAAGAGGGCAAGGACACAATACAACACACTGGCAGCACGAAAGAATGAAGACAAATACCTGAAGACTGTCTTCCAAAAGAACGGCTACCCAATCAACTTCATCAAAAAGTACCATCCGAACACATCACCAGAAAAAAAGTCAAGTACAGAAATCGACAAAAGGATCACCCTACCATACATAAAAGGTATATCAGAAATTGCAACGAGATTGCTGAAAACCTTCGGAATAGGTGTTGCGTACAAATCAATGCATGTGGACAACTGCGGACACTCAGTTGACTGGAAAAATGTGGAAATCTTACATAGAGGAAATTCCAAAAACACCAGAGAATTTTCAGAAGCTTGGCACTCAGGTCAATCAGCAATCAACAAGCACATTTAAATCGATCCAATTTATCAACCAATCAGGAAAAGTATGCACTAACTTAGGACCAAAAGCCAAACTAATGGGAGATACAACCAAAACAAAAAAGTGAACAATGACAGGTTTAAGGTCAACAAGAACCAGTTAACATCGAGGTCTACAGGACAAGCTGTGAACCATATATGGAGAAATTTGAACACTTCACTTCTACCTGAAGTTTGTGCTGATGATGCCGTTTAGAAGAACTATGAAAGCTCCATAACCAAACCATGCGGCTCAGAGAACAAAACTCCATCAAAACCTACACTAAGCTTAAAATTTACAGTCTACACACATTCAAAAGATATCCATTTTGAAGTTTGAATGATAATAATTGATATGAGTAAACCTTTACAACAGTAAAGATTTTCCCTAAAATCAATACAATTGAGTGGCGAAACAATTAGCAAATATTAACGTAGGGAGTTTTTAGTTTACATTATGGAATAATGTTAGTTGAACAATCAAAAGTTATTGGACAACTATTCCGTTCTAGTATGGCGATCCTTAGCAGTTTCCATTAATGCCATCAGTGGGGGGTTGAAACCAGGACCGATCAATAATATTCGATGATTAGACAATATTACGAAATGATTAAAGATAGACATGTAAGCCAGTGAAAGCTGGTTCAAAAGTCTAATGAGTGCACGCTAATCGTGAGACTTGATATGTTCTGGGTTCGACAACCGTCGGGATCGTGGATCCTCACTAGTGAGAATTCACATACCATGACGAAACAATTGTTTAATGTTCTTAACTGTTGTACACTTGAGGCCATTCCATGATGCAGACTATAAAAACAGAGATTATGTTCAGGAAACTTTTTTTTAAAAAAAAGACACTTACTTTTACAAAACTGAATACTTTTTCTTGTGAAGTACCATCTAAATCGTCGAAAAATATTCCACCAACACCACGTGTCTCACCTGACAAGATAAGAAAGAAGGAAGACCCAATAGTCTTTAAGATACATGTTAACACTTTTGTACTATTTTTTTCCTATGGGCTATTATGACCCTATTGGTTACCTATCAATTTAATAAACAACTTTATGCTCCTGTGTTAAAGATCTACTATGAGCCATAAATGCAGACGTTTTGTATCCATAGTCACTTTTATTTAGCTTGAATGGTGAAGCCTTTCTTCTATTGAAGCTGTTTGAGTGTCGGATCATTGGAAAAAAGAGACATTCGTATGAATTACTATCTTGTTTTGCACATACAGAGGATATATCTGTTTTGATCCTTATAAAATAATGTGCACCCATAGTAAAACACTTGTTCATTCTGTGTTTCAATTACTTCAAGCACAGGTGGGATTCGTTAGAAGCTAAGCTATTCAGTCAATCGTAAGCAACGTAGAACATGAAACATTTCCATGTATCGGTTTAAGTCGTCACACCATATTAGTATAGGGATTCTGATCCACGTCAAATACAAAATCTCTAACCATTTGTTATGATAATTGCGAGGATCATAACCAGATAGTCTGTACGACTCCAACAATCAATGTATCCATGGATTGATCACGTCTTGGTTTGACCAACACTAGATTCATTACAACCTACCCCTACATAAAAAACATCAAGTTTTGATGCAGGCAGCGGTTAGGCATACACATAATATATACCCGAACTCCTTAGTCGATGCAGATTCACAACTTTATCGACCGATTTACCATGTCTGCCTACCAGCCCGCATCTAACGTCAGCATTGCTCACCTAGTGATCCCAACATACAAGAGCGATGACTCGTAGATATCTATGAGTGAATACCAGTGACCTACCCTACCGTTGTTGCTACCTTGACGTGGTGGTCAGACTTGCCTATTGCGATGAAGCAACCGAGCAATACGGGCTGGAAAATTCGTTCCTCAAGGTCCTAACATGTCAGTTACTGACTGACTGACTGACTAACATGTCAGATAGATCGGTTGAAGACCGGTAAGACTAAAAGCAGAAAACCTAAGATCCGAAGGCGAAGTCGTACTGCTGACTGTACGGAAGTGTGATGGCAGTAAAGTGTTTCCTTCAGACAACCAGTATAACGACGATGCTACCACCCCACAAGGAGGGGATGGTAAGAAAAGGTCTACCCTAGATATGCACATCTCACCTTATCGCACGGATGTCCGTCTGCAGCGGTAAGGTCTCAATAAGTAGGGAGCTAATACGGAAATCACCCACAAAAAGTTCGTGTGTGACTGACCTCAAGCAGTTTTCCCTTGGACACTGCGGTCACGCACTCAGGTCACTAAGACCACCTCTAATCCAATTTCGTTTACAGGTACCTCCAGAAGAACCCTTCCACGGTGTGGGCAACCGGAAACTGATAACCTCCTTCATACCTCTAAGAGCACTAAAGATTACTGCATTCATAATTAATCTCTCTTTAATTCTTATTATTCCTCCCACATCGACTTTCAACACCGAAATCCAACTTTTTCCTTCCGTCTCAAGTGTCACCATAGCAAACGACTCTAGTGCCCTAAACACTATCTCAGGTCAAATGAAACTTCGCTTCACACTACACATTCGAGCCTATGTAAAATCCGCCACAAGACCCCCTTGGATAGAACTATAGTCTCCTACCGTTAATATATGCTGTGTATTCAAAAAACAAATACACAATCCTAGTGTAATCATTCGACAATTAACTACACTAATCTCAGTTCAGGTGTTGACGCAGACTAGTCCCGGAGCAACCACTTGCATTTAAAAATGGAGAAACGCATCCCAAAAATTCTGGCATCGTCGCTCAGTGCTACCAAGAGACTGTGCATTTTATCAGCGTCTTCACTAAACAGGACTACATCATCTGCGTATCGTAAGCCGATAGGTGGACCTCCTGATAGGAGATCAATGCCCGAAAATCCAGTCGACGAGAGCGTTATTTCCAGCAGTAGGTCTATGATGAAGTTAAACAAAAGTGGAGATAATGGACAACCTTGACGGACACTACTTGAGGTTGCAAAATCAAATGACAGTTCACCATAAGCTCTGACTGGACTAGTAGTGTTCGAGTAATGAGCCTACACAAGGTTTATGTACTCCTGAGGTACACCCTTCACTGCCACAGAACCTCTCGGTGTACAGGGTTAAATGCTGCTTTTAGATCAAGAAATGTCATTGTCGGACGCCGATTAGCATGCCTGTGCTCTAAAAACTGACGTGACGAATAGTGAATATGTGGTCGATACAAACACGACTAGATCTGAAGCCAGTCTCATGTTTGCAGTTCACGAGTCTTAGTTAGTGTTGTGTCTTGTGGACTGCAGATTAGAGCGAAGCGTATTTATCGATCGGACCAAAGACGCGTAAACACGTAAAAACAACGTAGAGTCCTGATTGGTCCTGCTTCCCTGTCTAGCCCAGCCAGTTGAGTCCAGAACGCAGGTCTCAGCCTCTGAGATATGAATCATTATATTTCAAGCACACTGAGTTTATATACCAATCAAACCGACCACAACGTACCAATAAAATAAGAAACGACATTGTACAAGAACTAGCCAAATGTGGCCGTGAATGAGGGAGGTAGCGATTAACAAACAGGGAATAATTCATGAATGGCAAATCGTATAATAATAGTTCATAGGTCAAAATAAAGCTCACAATAAGAGGGACATGAATATGAACAGTTTAGTTACATAACAATTATACGATAAAAATATAATCATAATATTGGTCCATAAATGGATCCCAAAAATTACCGTTCATTACTCTTGTCGGGATACAACACCTCCCCTTTTTTTGAAGATCCGGAGTTGATATCCGGATTTTAAATTTTCGAGTCCATCCTCCCCCACGAAACAGTGTTGGATCCTTATATGCCAAAGTCACAATTAATTTGAATTTATTTAAGACATATTTGTCGCACTGAACAGAGGATCGACTGGAAGTGACTGAGTGGTGAGGCTGAACGACACTTGATATGAGGTGATCGAAGTTTGATTCTTCTGAAATATTGTGACCAAATTTATGGAGAACCTCACTAGTAGATAGTGGATCACTATGATAATCAGCGTTCAACAAAACTGCACCAGGTTCTTGATTATTATTTGATGCATATGACATATTTTCTGGCAGAACGAGGGGATCTTCTTGTGAGCTGGATACGTCACTGTTTGTACATGCCATTTCGGGGATAATGGAGTTTGAATCCATGACAGGGCATGTTTCTAGAATGGGAGAGTACTGGACCACCGGGCGGATCTTGAATGACTGCTTCGCTTACATCACTGCTCGTAAAGGATTCATAGAGGCTTTTATAGACACCTTTATATGTTCTGCAGTTATTTTCCAGCTCGGTATGCAGATGAGAAATTAACTTATCAACCTCTGTCGCATCTCCAAAACATGAATGGTTTAGCAGCCGTGTGTGTAAGTTGTCCAAAATATTCAACTGGCTATTTTTGAAACACTGCTGTTGTCGCTCAAAAGTAGCAGCTGTAATTGGTCGGGCCATTTTGTCGACCCTACTACCGGCATTCATACTAACAACACTGAAGCCATGTGGTCGAGATTGAAGGAATTTTTAAGACCGTACCACGGCTCTAGAGGACAACTATTATGGAGTCATATGGACGAGTTCCTAATTCGTATGCATTTAAGACTCGTTCAAGTTTCGTCCATAAATCAGAGTCTCGCCGGATATTCTTTTACACGATTTAATAACTTGTTGAGGTTTGATAAACGTTCAGATGTTCTGAAATCATAAATTCCAAGTACCTGTCAAGTATATTTACGGAAGTGCTACTTACCCAATCTTCCTTGATACTACGTCCCCTGTTGTATTTTCGCTTTCTCACAACTGTTTCATCTATCTCCACAATACATTCTACTCCTCCGAATGATTGGTGTACACGTGTCATTTTAATTGCACATATGTCACGGCAACACTCATACCACCCTAAGCTCCCAACTTTGAGGAAATCCCCAAAGTGAAATAGCATTCATCAAAGTTTGAGGAAGTTTTGGGGGTTTTGTGCTATTTCCCCTAAATTTACTATAGCGGCTTCCCCAAAATGGGCCAAATTTTCCCCGAAATTGGCAGCTTGGGACTGGACTGATGAAGTTTCAGTAACATCTGCAAACGCCGCAGCCAGTGTTACTGGTGTCTTTTTTTATCCAATTTGCAACTATTATCATGATCTGCCTCAGTTTCAGTCGCGATCGAGCGAAGAAAGTCCCCGTTCGAGAAGACTTTTTCATCCACCATGAAGAACGACGAAATACAATCTCATCACGGTAGTCTGCACACTTTGCTGCAGTCATTTGATAACCGCAGTCACAGGTACAGGAACTTCATGTAGTCTCATCTCTTGTAGCCTCTCAATAATCACCTCTTCTCTAAAATCCGCTGTAAACCGATCGTATATGAGCATCCGGTGTTGTACTTGGCTCCGTGACCTTGAAATTGCTCAAACGCTTCTGAATGGATCGTCCATAAATTAGAGTCTCACCCGCTTCGCTCTAATCTGCAGACACAGTCACAACAATTGGCGACGGGGTAAAAAAAACACAATCCAAGTTCAGCCTATAATTGGACGAAATAGCACAAAACCCCCAAAACTTCCTCAAACTTTGATGAATGCTATTTCACTTTGGGGATTTCCTCAAAGTTGGGAGCTTGGGGTGGTATGAGTATTGCCGTGACATATGTGCAATTAAAATGACACGTGTACACCAATCATTCGGAGGAGTAGAATGTATTGTGGAGATAGATGAAACAGTTGTGAGAAAGCGAAAATACAACAGGGGACGTAGTATCAAGGAAGATTGGGTAAGTAGCACTTCCGTAAATATACTTGACAGGTACTTGGAATTTATGATTTCAGAACATCTGAACGTTTATCAAACCTCAACAAGTTATTAAATCGTGTAAAAGAATATCCGGCGAGACTCTGATTTATGGACGAAACTTGAACGAGTCTTAAATGCATACGAATTAGGAACTCGTCCATATGACTCCATAATAGTTGTCCTCTAGAGCCGTGGTACGGTCTTAAAAATTCCTTCAATCTCGACCACATGGCTTCAGTGTTGTTAGTATGAATGCCGGTAGTAGGGTCGACAAAATGGCCCGACCAATTACAGCTGCTACTTTTGAGCGACAACAGCAGTGTTTCAAAAATAGCCAGTTGAATATTTTGGACAACTTACACACACGGCTGCTAAACCATTCATGTTTTGGAGATGCGACAGAGGTTGATAAGTTAATTTCTCATCTGCATACCGAGCTGGAAAATAACTGCAGAACATATAAAGGTGTCTATAAAAGCCTCTATGAATCCTTTACGAGCAGTGATGTAAGCGAAGCAGTCATTCAAGATCCGCCCGGTGGTCCAGTACTCTCCCATTCTAGAAACATGCCCTGTCATGGATTCAAACTCCATTATCCCCGAAATGGCATGTACAAACAGTGACGTATCCAGCTCACAAGAAGATCCCCTCGTTCTGCCAGAAAATATGTCATATGCATCAAATAATAATCAAGAACCTGGTGCAGTTTTGTTGAACGCTGATTATCATAGTGATCCACTATCTACTAGTGAGGTTCTCCATAAATTTGGTCACAATATTTCAGAAGAATCAAACTTCGATCACCTCATATCAAGTGTCGTTCAGCCTCACCACTCAGTCACTTCCAGTCGATCCTCTGTTCAGTGCGACAAATATGTCTTAAATAAATTCAAATTAATTGTGACTTTGGCATATAAGGATCCAACACTGTTTCGTGGGGGAGGATGGACTCGAAAATTTAAAATCCGGATATCAACTCCGGATCTTCAAAAAAAGGGGAGGTGTTGTATCCCGACAAGAGTAATGAACGGTAATTTTTGGGATCCATTTATGGACCAATATTATGATTATATTTTTATCGTATAATTGTTATGTAACTAAACTGTTCATATTCATGTCCCTCTTATTGTGAGCTTTATTTTGACCTATGAACTATTATTATACGATTTGCCATTCATGAATTATTCCCTGTTTGTTAATCGCTACCTCCCTCATTCACGGCCACATTTGGCTAGTTCTTGTACAATGTCGTTTCTTATTTTATTGGTACGTTGTGGTCGGTTTGATTGGTATATAAACTCAGTGTGCTTGAAATATAATGATTCATATCTCAGAGGCTGAGACCTGCGTTCTGGACTCAACTGGCTGGGCTAGACAGGGAAGCAGGACCAATCAGGACTCTACGTTGTTTTTACGTGTTTACGCGTCTTTGGTCCGATCGATAAATACGCTTCGCTCTAATCTGCAGTCCACAAGACACAACACTAACTAAGACTCGTGAACTGCAAACATGAGACTGGCTTCAGATCTAGTCGTGTTTGTATCGACCACATATTCACTATTCGTCACGTCAGTTTTTAGAGCACAGGCATGCTAATCGGCGTCCGACAATGACATTTCTTGATCTAAAAGCAGCATTTAACCCTGTACACCGAGAGGTTCTGTGGCAGTGAAGGGTGTACCTCAGGAGTACATAAACCTTGTGTAGGCTCATTACTCGAACACTACTAGTCCAGTCAGAGCTTATGGTGAACTGTCATTTGATTTTGCAACCTCAAGTAGTGTCCGTCAAGGCTGTCCATTATCTCCACTTTTGTTTAACTTCATCATAGACCTACTGCTGGAAATAACGCTCTCGTCGACTGGATTTTCGGGCATTGATCTCCTATCAGGAGGTCCACCTATCGGCTTACGATACGCAGATGATGTAGTCCTGTTTAGTGAAGACGCTGATAAAATGCACAGTCTCTTGGTAGCACTGAGCGACGATGCCAGAATTTTTGGGATGCGTTTCTCCATTTTTAAATGCAAGTGGTTGCTCCGGGACTGGTCTAAGTCAACAGCTTATGGAGGGTTTTGAAGTGAAGTAGTCGAATGCGTTGACATCTTCACTTTTCTTGGAAGTCTGATCAGCTCTAATGTGTTGGTGTCTGACGAAATCTCAGCACGGATTCAGAAAGCTCTTTTGGTTTTTGCCAACTTACGTCACCTATGGCGAAGGCGAGATATTCGTCAATTAATAAAAGGACGAGTATATGGCGCGGCAATTCGTTCCGTTCTACTTTAAGGTTGTGAAACATGGTCATGAAGAGTCGAAGATACTCGTAAGCTACAAGTATTTGATCACAGATACCTTAGAAATATTGCTGGCATCTGCTGGAATCAACGGGTAAGTATTAGTGAGGCTAGAAGCGTAGGGTATTAGGGAGTGATGGTATATCAGTTGATGAGATTGCAACTCTTCGTCGACTGAGATGGTCGGGTCACGTGTTGTGTTGCGTATGATTGAACACCAATTACCACGACGTGCAATGCTAACTGGTGTTGGGGATTGTTGGAAGAAAGTTAGGGGCGGGCAAACCAAAACGTGGCATCAGTGCTTGAAGTCACTAACTTCTGATCTGAGCCATGTTGGTAGATGCAGACTTTTTGTTTGTGGTCCACCTGACTATCGTAAACATTGCTTGGAGAAGAAGTCCAAAGAACACATTACTCCAAGTAATGTAGACAGACATGAGAATGATGTCCATATATTCAATCCTTCTTTTATATATTACCACCATTGGAATGACTACTTCTATGAATTTTGTGTTCCTCTTGCCATGCTAATGAGGTATGGCAACTTGGACCGATGCATATATGTGCCTGGTCCTATGCTGTAGCTGACTGACTGACCGACTAGTGACCTACGAATATCCTTTATTTCTAAAGATCACATTTCCAAACCATAAATTAGAGTACCATGAACTATCGTGCAGTGTATTTGTTATTCGCTGGCAAGACAGACATTTCGCCTACACCACAAGTGACGCAAGTTAAGAAACTCCAACCGACCTTCCTAAGTCTATGCCGATACTTCATCAGACACCAACCATTCAAGGCTTATGAGACTTTTAAGATAAGCGAAATGGTCAGTGTGTTAAACTACTAATTCACTCCTTATCATTAGTTTAAGCGTTGATACAGACCAGTCCTGAAGTAATACTGAAATCAAAATTCAATGTTGCGCATTATCAGTTCTAAATAATTCTTCATGTTAGTGATAAGTCCTTATCATACTACTGATATGTTTGTAACAAGCATCAGTAAATATTTGCTTTAAAAAAAATAACACTTACCTCGATGTGTCAGATAGAAATAATCATCACACCATTTTTTAAAACGTGGATAAAACGATTCGTTATGTTGATCACAAGCCAATTTTAACTGCTCATGAAAGTGTTTAGCATCTTCATTAAATAAGTAGTATGGAGTTAAATCTGCTCCGCCGCCATACCACCAACATTTACGATTGTTACCCAAATCAACTTCGAAGTAACGAAAATTAAAGTGTGTTGTAGGGACATATGGATTAAGCTTGGAAATGGAAAAAAAGTAGAACCACCGGTAAGAAGAGACATCAAATAGTGATACTTCTCAGCAGTGGGCATCCACGACCCCACAACCAGAAAATCAAACCAATCCAGGACCTTCGAACTCGCGCCCGAATTTCGACTAATCCATAGTACTGAGCGATCAGCCTTCATTACCAGTGGTGGATAAATTCCTAACATCCGATACGGTTAAACTCCAGTGCTCATGAATTCTCAATAGAACTCCGGGAACTTTCGGAGATAGCCACTAGTGGGTGAATGATAACTATCAGTAAAAGGTTGTGGAGACTGTTGAATCACATTGATATCACAAAGCGATCTCAGAAAACGATTAAAAACCTAGACAGCCGCTCCGTCCTAGTGTAAAACTCTTTACCATTGAGCATCCATAGTCCCATAGCCGGGAATCAAAACCAAGACTTATAGTCTAGTCCGCAAACACCTGAAACGATCGTTCAGTGTTTCTCAAGTTCGCACTGACTCGTGACATCAACAAAATCAAAGCCTCTTGTTTCCTTAGGATTCTGTAGCCCATGTGCACCATTGGTCTGGAATGAGGGTTTTCCGACTTCTTTAGGTGGACCCTCCATATCCACCAACCCGGTTAAAGCGTTGGACATTCGCTTTTCATCCTCTCAATTCTGTAAACAAAACCCTCGCCGCGAGAAGGTAGTGAGTAGGACTTCCGTGGCAATGATTGTATGTACGCAGCCATATGAGAGCATTTGGAGAGGAAGAGCTGACTCTTCCCACTCTCGAACGTACCACGGAATTTGAGGGCAGGTACAGCATAAGTAGAAACGGTGTCTGATACGGAAATACAATTCAGGATATCTAAATTAAGTTACTTTAATGCGAAAACGAAAACGTTTTTCGAAAATAAACTTACTGGATGAATAACTGAACTGATACCACAAGCGAAAAATTTGCACTCTTTATTAGGATCAATTTCATTATGTCTATAGAAAAAAAAGAGAAAAAGATTATGTTCACTAACAGTTTAATATACGTAAAACCGAAGAAATGAGATTTACGATTTACTGGTTGATGTTATTTCAGATGTTATTGAGACAGGTAATAATATTGGGCAGCTATTGCATCACTGCGTTCGAAACTCCTTGACAGTATACACTGATAAACCTTCATCAGAGATCAAACTAAGAATCTTTAGATTTAGTGGTAAGCGTATTTAAATGTCTAAATCACTGAGATGTGATCCAGTGGTACATTATCAACCTTAACCATGCCATTAATTGGTCATTATCAAAATGTAATTAATGATAACTGTCTCATTGAACTCTATCTATCATGACTTCTTATTACCAAAATATTGGTAATCTTGAAGTCAGTTGCTATTACTCAACATATGATTACTGTTTATTTCTAAGTTTCATTCTATGTGGATGTGTATCAAAAAGTTGGCCCAAAACAAGGAAGAGATACAGTTGTTTACTACTCCATAGTTGTTGCTCATCTGAGACAAAAACTACCGTTGTATTGTAACTAATCAGAAAATTTTAACACCTAACCCTAAAAGTAAAGTAAAACTTATTTTCAACTTACAGATATAATCTACGCTATCTATTTGGAAACAAATTACATATATTAGAATGGAAGGAAAACTGTAGTTAGGTATTCAAAAATTGTATTATAATAATAAGTGTTAGTCTGAACACATCCACTGTATCCAATTACATGTAAATCATCTGGCTGAATTAAATATGATTTTAGTGGTCTTATATCTGACTCAAATTAGATCGTATGAATGATTGCTGTCGATAAATACATCCTGACTATCGACTTAATACGCGTTAGTGAATAACGGAATTAAATAAGTCAAATATGAGAATGAATTTCGAACACGTATATTTTGCACGATCGTTGATCGGAACAGACAATCAGAGAATCGCAGCGAACGAAGCGAAGAAGAGAGAGAGAGAGAGAGTCAAGTGAAACTTAAGGATGCGCAATGGGAAAGGCAAATGAGCCGACTCCATTTAACCAAGCGTTAATCAATATTTATAGTCACACAAAAATAAGTTGCAGACATGTGATGAGTGGAATAAAAGGGCACACATATACGCTTACATAAAAACAGTCAAGATTGATAAGTGAATAATTAACAAGGTCAAAACGTGACTCAACAAGAACTGATAAATTGACCTGTCCAGAAGCTAGAATAAATTATTATATGGGCTTAACATAGTAACCGACATTACATGACTATCGTAGCCAATTATACGAGACGTTGAACAACATATCTCAGAATCAGTCACACAGTTTGGACGTACTCACTCTTTGACGTCAAAATACTCACACCTTTCATTGCACAAATTGATTGTTCTTCTTGAATCATATTATTATCACCGATACTACCATCACTTCTACTACTCTAGTATTTGTCTTAATAATTTGATTACTCTTTGTTGATGCGATGTGGTAACTTGAAGCAATGCATATATATGTGGCAGGTTCAATGTCACTCATAACTAAATGGATACATTTAACATGCTTCTGTAAAACGACGCATAAATATAAGGGTATATGGATTTGAAAATGGGAGCATGCGATGCAGAGATAAAGAAACTAATTAATCTGTGAAACCAGTGGAAAACATTCTTGCAGAGATTACTCTAAAAGTATGCGATATTATCATGGATAAGTATCCATGAAGTTAGCAGAATAAATAAGTTCATTCAATAATGACAGTCGCGAATTTCATGTATAAAAGCAATAAGGCTTACCACTACTACTGAGTCCGTTGTTAAATAAGCGTTCCAAATTAAAAATAAACTGAATTTTTCCTGAAGTTGGCTGAGAATTTACTTTAGTATTCTCCAAAGTTTGAGGTGTGGAACAGAACTGTACACTACCTCCTCCACATCCGAAAACCAAAGTTTCACACATCAAACCAACCTATGTTAAACAAACATTGAAAGCCAGGAAACATTGGACGGATATCTCGTCTTTGCATGAAACTCCCCCGCAATGAATACCCGCAGCTTCAATAAGGTTTGAACCCAAGCACTTTAGTCCTCGCGTCGAGAGCCTAACCTTCAGATCACTGGTTTACCATCCAGTGGCTTACATTTCTAACTCTAAAGAAATCGTGATATTTCAAGACATTCCTGCGTTGCCACTAGTGAAATCTACCTCACACCCAACATGTAGTCAAGCTCCCCTGACAACAGCTTTTCATTAGAATTGATGGCTGTTTAGCATTGCCAATTGACCGAAGTTAGAAAATGCAAGCCACTGAATGCCAGCTAAGTGATCTAAAGGTTGCATGCACTTGGTGAGATGTTTGAAGGTTCTGGACGTCTCATCTCTGATAAAATGCTGGATGTGCACAACTAAGTCTCCCATAAGAACGAAGTAGTCGCTCAATATTTCCTAGTCTTCAGTGGTTATCTGATCACAATCAAATCCAACATTCTCCACAATACCGTATAGTAATTATTATGAAATCACAGAATATAAAAAACAACTTTTACATTTGACAAATAAAAACCAAGAGAATCCTGTTAAAATAATACAATTAAAAAGAATTATGAAAAAGAGATCAGAGAAACAAACAGCTAACCTTGCACGCATTTCTTTCACAGCTTGAGCGCTAAGGTTCCCACTTATCACACTGATGTTTACACCAGCCTTTTCAAAAACATCACCATTCTCTAGAACACATGAAATTCCGCCACCACCCTATTTACGGAAAGAAAAGTGTACATATATATGGAGAGAGGGGATACAACGGATGTTTGCAATTGTACTAAAAATACTGACAGATAGTGTTAGGATATCCGGAAAAATATACCAATAATTATCATGTTAAGTCTAATAGTGTCCTTGGACTTTAAATGGACATTCCCTATTGGTCAATATTTATTTCATTTGTTAAATATTGTACAAATGTTGTTTTCTATTTTATGGTACGATGTGGTTTGTTTGGTTGGTATGTAAACAGAGTCTGTCTGAAATATAATGATTCATATCTCAGAGGCTGAAACTTGTGTTCTGGACTCAACTGGCTGGGCTAGACAGCGAAGCAGGGCCAATCGGGACTCTAGGTCGTTCGTACGTGTTTGCGCGTCTTTGGTCCGATCGACTTAGCAAACGTGTTCTAATATCACTGAACTTCTGCGATTGAAGACTGCAGATGAGAATGAGTGCTTTAAATTGGTCTTTAGTAAGTGACTTCAACCGGAAGCGTTCACATTCTCGGTTGACGATACCCACATGTGTGAAAAAATTATCATCTTCGTTCATAGTGAGCTTCAAACATCGATAGCGCGCATTGAATAGTGAGGAGTTGTCTTCGAATTGTTGGCTCAATGACTGGATCGATAATTCGCTGACCTCAAATTTGCAGCATCACAGTCATGACAGATAGATATGCTGAACTTTGAAAAATCATATAAGGTTCTGTAAAATCTCTTGTATGAATTTCGGCGATACTATAAAGTTGACCAACTTAAAGTAAATGGATTATGGTTTTAAACTTGTAACACTGGTCAAAAATGTCGATCAATTGATTGGTTCAATCATGCATCTTAAACTTATCCCATGTATACACATACCTCTCTCTAGCCTTTTGAAGAAAGAAAGAACAAAGATTTAAGTAGAATAACATGATTCTATTTTATTTTGTTCGGTTCTTGTTAGTTGCTTACAAAAACTTTCAATATTTAAAAATCTTAACTAGAAAATGGGTTGAAACTGTTTACATAAACATGTTTAGTTGGAGGAAGTGCTAAACACACATCGATATAGAGTATAGTAAGAATGTGAGGAAATTCAATAAATTCACATCTTACTTGGAAGAACATATGTTCCTCCATATCTCCATCCAATTTAAAAAAGCAGGTGTTTGGAAGAATAGTCTTTTCAATATGTTCTCATCACCTATGATTAAAATCTAAATTAACGTCCTGAAGAGGATAGCCAGGTTTAAGGAAAATACATAATTTAAAATGAACGTTTATGAAAGTTTGGATTGTTAGTGGAAATAAAATAGGATTGTTATCATTGAAATAACTAATACGTCAATGCTGAAATGACTAATGTATAATGTTAAACTAGTTTATATAATCATTGTAATCGTGAGATTAACAATACAAGTAGATATAAATAACACTGAGAAACAACAATATAACTACAAATCAGAATGAATATTGACCATAAACTACGTAATATATAGAATGATATGAATTGGGTGAGAGATAATAACTTGGAGTGGGGTGCTAATTCAGACTGGAAAGAAGGACACCTGATCAAGATACTAAAAGAAAAGATATCTGAGCAAGCGTGAGAACTACAGAGGCATCACTACTCTATCGCTAATTCAAGTTTTCAAACGCTTAGCAGAGTCATGATCATAATAATATAAGTGAACAGGGTAGGTTTAAAGCATGGAAATGTAGAAAGAGAAAGGTTGTAAGTAGACTAATTAAATATTACTATTTCGATAAAATTACTAGTAAGTTATTGGGTTTGAAGTCGCCCAAGGCGAGGGGTCAGACATATTTCTTCTAAACTCAAAGCTGAGGCTTTTTAGCCTGAATAGCTATTGCTTCGACGGTGTGTAAAATTCCTAGTCTGACGGATTTAAGCAGATAACTATTAACACCGTAAATGACTGATCGGCGTTGGCTGTATGGCCCGTTTGTACAAAATGTTAACTATAGCCCCGCTTAACAACGAAGGGGTGTTGACGAGCACGAAAGTACAAAGTCCTGAAACATTTATCAATATAACTTGCTCCACAAGAGTAAATAAGTTGATAGACGTAGGAAAAGCTGGTTAGTGCAGGTAATTTACTTTTTTAATTTCGGAGTAAACATAGAACGTGTAGAAAACGCTAATTGTAGTTTACCTGCATTGAATGCTTTTTAAATTGTTCTGCGCAATTTAAACATTAACATTTCTCTGAGTGTGTACCATAAACAGCATAAACGGGGACATTTTACTTGCCGTTAGGACTAAATCCTCATTTATGAGTCTCTCCCAGTACCTGTTATCCTTTAGGGTATTACACAGTACAGTTGTTCACTCTACAATTATAATGAAATGCACCAACTACATTTCATTTATGTTGTAGAGAAACGAAACTAGCGAAACTTGTTTACTCCTCCATCCAAGTAGTTCTCTGGTTCAAGTTCCTTTATAATGACCCATTTACTCTCTCTGTAAATAGGACACCTAGAAGGGTTATTATGCACCTATTTTTTCCCACATGTAAATTTAGGAGGAGGGTGAACTTCACCAAATCTTTGAATGCCTACCAGGTCAATATAGTCTTTACAAAGGATCAACACAGAATTCACATTTCGGCAGCAAAATTTTCCAGTGAACCATTCTCTAGCTTATCTAGAAAAAAGCCAGCTAATATGAGACACAATGATGAAACTATTGCGACACCTATTTGTCTACATATTTTCCTGTTGAATACGAATTTTACATTCATGGTGTATTTTAATGATCTCTTCTATAATATGCACTGGAATCACAGTTTCTGCCCTGTGTTCTGTATTCACCTGACATGATTCATGAGTTGAGTTTGAAAAACTCCGAGGTTAATCAACACAGTTATAAACTTAACAATATTTATAAACAAGTGGAACGTCGGATTAGCAGTCTAAAGCATTTGGTTTTTGATTACTGAATTACAGGCATTTATTCAACTCTATTCAGTTTGGTCTAGGCAATGAGTTGGTTGGTATTACTAACTTACATATGTACAGAAAAGTGGGACTCAAAAACGAAGTGCATGGATCTTCACCGACTGACGACTGTATAGTGAATTCCGGTTTGCTACTTAAGGGTGTGGAAATCACTCAATGAGTTTTAGGTAAGAAATGGTTCTCCGCCTATTACGGTTTGAACAACCGGTAAGTGTCAAACTTAAGTTCACAGGCCTCTACCCGGTAAATGAGTTGGATATAAACTAAGCTTGAAAATGGAAAACGGAATATCATAACTTACAGCACGACGTTCCCATTTGTCCACTTTGAACTTGGCTTTCCCATCAATCTTTTCAACTTCCTTACACAAGCGACCCTTGAATAAAGAATAAGCAGACAAGTATACAAAACTCAAGGAGGAGCAGTTAAAAAGAGATTAGAAGAGAATGATTAGAAATAAACAATTAAACGAAGCACAACTTAAATGAATACATTTTTCAAAAATGTGACTGTATTCAAGTCCAAACGTCTTACAACAGACTAACTCCTCAAAAGAGATAGTAACAATAAGCTGTTTTAATAAAATTAAGACACATGAATATAGGAGTGAGATTTATGAGTTACCGAAATTTACAATAGATTAAGAACATATTTCAGATTACAGATAATGATGTGAATAACGTTTACATATGAAAGAATCAGAGCACCAGAGTCATCCCCAATCATAATTTACACTTTTTAGTTTTTATTACAGTGACAATGCTGAAAACTAAATCTACGTAAGGTCAAAACTTAAGCAGGCAACAAAAGAAAAGTAAATAATTCATGCATATGTCCAAATAACCCTAGCAACTTGTCTGTTATCTAAAAGATTATAAAAAAAAACAAATAAAACGTTTAGTATATAGCTAACTACCAAAACATAAAAATCAGTCTGTATGAGTAACTGCTTATTACACGTTATGAAATTCAGTCACGTAGAACTATCTTTTTGTGAATTAAATTCATTGATCTGTGATTATCTAACTGTGACAGACATTACCTCAATTTTTAACTAGTAAATAATACACAATGGCAATTAAAACCCAAACTAACCAAAACTTTAAGTAAATACTACATAACTTTTATAGATTTACATGGTGCCATCAAAAAATAGTAGACAGACAGGAAGTCACAACTTATCTTAATAATCATTTTTAGTGAGTCCTTTCAACATCTTCAGCTTAAACAGACCTTCTTAGTCAGCAGTCAGCACAATTTGCTTTAAACGTTTAAAATGAGTATGATCGACCAAATAATTATTTGGCGATATTGGAATGTCAGCTTTTGAAACATTCTGGGTCAAAACAAACATGTTATCTTTAGGTAATGAACTCTTAATCACACGAATAATTTTTTTTGGGATTATCGATATCGATCAACTAGGTGTATTGCAAAGAATTTCAACAAAAAACAGAGAACAACTGCATATGAAGACGATTTAAAAACGACGAGTGCACACTAGCGAGTCACAAATAGATTGCTACACATCAACGTGACATTCTCCAAACGTTGAGGGGATATAATTAAAAATTTACACGGTGAGACTATAATTTATGGACGACCTTTGAGGGACGCTGAAGTGGCCTTGAGAGTGGACGCCTACTGAATGGGACTAAATGAGTTATAAAGCAGTTAGAATTCTCATTTACAGTTGATGGTTAGAGTTAGAAATTGGATTTAGGGTTTTCATCACGAAATGACACCACCTAAAATGCCATAATTCTATTTAGCCAAATGTATAGATGAACTACGCGCCCATAAATTAGTCTCGCCAGGTAGGGTAATGAACGCCACACACCAATAAATTGATAACGATACAGTCTAAAGCATAGCATATTTGAAAGATAATCTCACTTGGAGTTCCATGCACAACACTTCCATTTTTGAGCGATAACATTCATCACCTGACTGCAGAAATATTTAACACTTTATAGAAGTCTACCTGTAACTTGTCGACTGCAGAAACAGGCAAGCACATCCAGTTATTTAGATTTATTTCAGGAAACTTGGTAACAAATGGTACGCTAGCGCAGGAAACGGAGAAGCATTTATTACTTAGGCCCACAATGCTGGTGTCAGCAAGGGCCCATCGACCTCCAACCAAGAAGGCAGAAGCACTAAGAACAAAAAGAGTGTTATGAACAATAAAATGTACCCTAGTGCATAAACACAGCATTTAAAGAACCGTTGGGTTTTGGAACGATACAGGAACGACACACCCATATCCGCAACGTGAATCTCAAATAAAGCGGCTTCGTAGCTTAGTGAATAATTGTGTTATATCCATATGGGTTCAAAATAGATAATGGGCAAAAAATGGGGTATTAAGTGATAGATATATAATATTTATGACAGACATAATATTATTGCGAGTAAAGTGCTAGTGTAAAAAACGACATCTCATCGCATGTGAGGGAATTAAAAAACAAATGTCGTCTTCCCTTTGGTATTCCCTAGTTTGGGAAAGCGAAACTGATGACTGTCTTCTTATTTGCTAAAGTGACCTTTAAGGGACTTATGTAATGGACTGTGGTAGCGTGAACCGGAGAATCACCCTAGGTCGCCGTTAACTCTAAAGGACAGAACATTGAAAATGATTAACATTATCCTATCGAGTGAATAATTTTTGGTATTACTCGCATTTTTCGTCATCTCCCCTACTTCACACACACCTTGTCTACAAAACTGTTGTCTAAACTTTGGAAATGACATCATCGTTGACAGTCTGTTTTCTGCATGGTTGTCACTAATCATCACTGACAATCGTATTACGGCATCTACACTGCTTGTTCCCATTTAACAGGCTGTAAAGTTGAATGATCACTAAAATAATTGTCATAATTGTTTGATTATAACAGTTGAGTCCTCGTTACTGAGTTATTACTGACAGAATTTACTTTGGACTTCATACCCTATATGAAATCATTGATTGTTCATTAAAATTGCTGATTCAGCGATCGAAACAACGAACGCCCTACATTTATTAACAAAACTACCGTCCAAAGTATCCATCTGTCTACTGAGAGTTTGTATATTATTGACTGAATATAATTTTTTTAAGCAACGTTTCCAGCACCTCGGAATTAACACGTAGTGGTAAATAAATCCCACAAATCACCTAACCGCAACAGGTTGTAGCGTGGCGTCGAGTTGAGATTAACTATGAACACCGCTACAAAGAAATACGTGCCAAGTAAATCAGAAGGCGTAGGTTGAACGTAACCAAATAAATACATAAAATCCCCGACAAGCCAAATACCAGAAGGCAAGTAAGGAACCAAGTCGAGTTATATTTACTGGCGATCTCGTGGCATCGAGAGGATACCGAGATCGTGCCAGAATACAACCTTGGTTACAGAAGGTAACCGAATTCGCGCGAAGTTACAATCGAAGTGTAAGTAAAAGAATGGAAGCACAAAATAGCTGTCATTAGCACAGTCAAACAAAAGCACATTAAAACAGTCACTGGTACACTTGGTTATAATAATGAGCGTTTTTATTAAACCAGTCGTGTTCTCGTGATAAATGTGAGTCACTAAAAGGTCATGAGTTGGTAGACGTGCTACGCATCCCTTGCAACTATCAACCAACCTCTTCGTATAGCGATAGCTTTCCAATTATATCTTCTAACCTCTTTATTACTGACCTCTGATTTCACCGGATTGGTATACTTCGATTATAAGAGTGTTACTTGTAAAAAGTTGTCGAACTCCGAACACCTGTGGCGCCTTTCAGCAGTTGTTGTCTGCTGCATGAATACCTCGTTAGAATCTTCTAACCATTTGGCATTTCAGAATTCCTATCAGCTCTTCTTTTATCCATTTTTCAGCTAACAATTTAACCTGCATGCTGCTTCATCCTGCGTATGTGCCATTCTAAGCCAGCCAGGGGTTTTATGAACTTTCTATGTGCTTAAGCTGTTTATAGCTTTGGTAATTACATTCATGTGTGTTTTATGTATACTTGTCTCATATGTCTGTTGTCTGTACATGCTATCTGTAATTTATGCATTATTCAACTTACACTAAAACAGAGTCATCCTTTAATTACTCAGTTAGTCAATACTATCACTCCACTTCGCATCTATTTCTTTTCGTTTGTCTACCGAACAAATTCACTGAAAAACATGCACATCTTGAATCATCTCGGATTTCATCTTATTTCTACGTCAAATTCACATGATTATTCGACAGAAGATATACTGGTTTAATTAGGATAAGTTTATCGTGAACATCAACGCTATTGGATCATCATGGAGTTGAATACGATCGGCTCAAGCTGTTTGCTCAATATAACATAATTCCAGAAGTAAATGAGTTTGAAGGAATACAGAATTTAAATAATAAGAAAGCTTGAACAGTAATGAGGATAGAGGTATTGTACAAGTAATGAGGGCAAGAAAATAAGCGGTAAACACAGTATAACCAAAACGAAACCAACATTTGCAATTTATTTTTAATCTAACCCCAGCTTCTCAGAGACGTTTGTGGTTTTCTACTGTCATTATTATGATTATTACTAACAAACATCTTATGGGTATATAAGTGTTGTGAAGAAACCATTTCGGGTTTCTTCAAAAATGCATTAATACACAATTTTCAATAATGTTAGCATTATATTTGCCATATTTGAAAAAGAGAATAATAATAATGGAACAATAATAATCATAAATCGGGTTTGTGTAATTGAGAAGTATATTGAATTGAGTTTAAAGAAGGAATGACGAAAATAAGAAAATGGAAATAAAGGAGACGTGAAATACGCAAATAGTTTAATAGGCGTGTTTATGAACATAGAACAAGAATAAACAACTATGTATGTATCGTAATATTAGTAAAAAAAATAAAATATATAATAATTAAGAAAAAACAACTTATTATTGCAGTAAGACATGACGCCAGAATAAGTGTTTGTGCAGTCATATTTTGGAGTGATGCTATAAAAGTCGCAATTAAGTGAAAAGGATAACTAGATATCAATATATATGAGTCATATATGCATAGTGAATATAAAACGAGTCTGATAAGTTAATTTACTTGCCATCTTAAGAATAATATTTATTTAAAAAGAAAAGAGAGAAAAGAAATGGACACCTAGTGAAAGGATTAAACCATGACAATAATAATAATTGTACAATAAATATCGACCTTTGAAGTAAACCAAAAATTAAAAATAAAATAAGATCCAAAAAATCCTTTACTGCACTCGGATAAGTACATATAGACTTATGTAATGGTATACAGAGTGAAACCGGATATTAGTATTAGGAATGATTCTATGAAGGTCACAATTAATTGCAAAGGATAATCAAACATAAATTTCAATGTGTTACATATATGTGATGACGATAAAATGAATCTGAGAAGTTAGTTTATTTGAGTGTACCGTGAGATAATTTGTTTTTAGCTATAGACTTTGGACGTCTAGGAATAATATATGTTTAGAAGGGTAAGAAGAAATAAAGAGAATATCTAATGTGTCGAGGGACCAATAATGATATTAATAACAGTAATAATTATAAATACGAACATAAGCAGGCTTCATATACTAAGATGAATAGAAATAAAATAAGCGTGAAAATTTTCAAAGGTTACATTTTGATTTTCAGTCAATTGGATGACGGACCTTGCTTGTATAAATCATTATTAAACACATTGATATTCAGTAGGTGGCACAACCCAATTTCGGAAAGAAAATAATCAAGTAGATTTCTGAACCAGGTTTTAGGTTCACTGCAACAGAGGTTCACTGGCAGTCCGTTTTACACGGTTGAGTAGCTCAAACTCTTGCCATATCTTAAACCCGAATCACGAACAGTGTTCATAGGTTTCAGCGTATGTTTGTGTATAGCCAGATTTAGGTCAAGGCAGTGGCCAATGTGAGCAAATCCACTTTTGTCAACACTAAGTGGCAAATCCACCAAACAGTTCATTCGTATAACCTGTTTATTTCTTCTTGGATTAACACTGAAATATAGATTTCTTTTGTTGGAGAAGAGAATGAATAAACTACTTTCAGGTCATTGGCAAAAAGGAAAGGTTTAACATACTGAAAGAGGAGACACACGTGATTGATAAAAGGAGAAAGCGTAATGGACCAATCACACTTCCTTGTATAACCCCACTGGTTACATCCACAGGTTTAGAATAGCAAGATCCAAAGAGAATGAGTTGGCCACGTTCTTGTAAAAAGGATTTGAGCCAAGAAGAAAGGGGATTCTGTATGTCACATAAAGAGAGTCTAGAAGAAGACGTTTGTGTGAGACACTGTCGAAAGCCTTACTAAAATGGAAGTAAAGAATTATCACTGACTGAAGAACATCTCTTCTCAGGGTAATTTGAACAAAAAATTCCAGGTTCGACATGAAGCATGAGCGTTCAGTCATAAATCTGTGTTGGGATAAGCTAATCAGACTAGCCGAAAATAAAAATGTTAATAGCTTTTTGTGGATGATATTTTCTATGGTTCTTGATAACACTGATGTCAACTTTATTGGCCCATAGTTAACAATATCACTACGTGATCCTGTTTTGACTCTAGGGGTGATAAGTGATGTTTTCCATAAAGATGGATAGGCCCCATATTCCACAGATTAAATGAAAAGTTTCAAATAAAATAGTGGAAAATCTCTACTACCATATTCCACAAGTGGTGGAGGGATCCCGTCAGGTCCACAATCAAAGACTTTTTCAGGGCAGCTATGGCCTGTTTGATGTTGGAGGGTATGAAATCGATTTTCCATAGGTGTCTGGATGTCAGAACTCCGCCTGGAGCCCCTTCCGGGGGCTAATGCCGGTCCCAAGCCCGTATAAAGGGGAAGGGTCAGGCATGGGTTTAGTGACCCCATACCGTAGAAAACTAACTCGCTAAAAAAGGCCAACCAGAAAAAATTATTCAAACCATTTAAGCTCTGCCCTGGGAGTCAAAAGGTCTTCATTTAGAAGAGTTATGACGCCTCATGATGAAATCCGAGTTCCTTCGTAAGTCACGAGGCCGATGTCCCTTCTGACAACCACAGCAACCATTTATTTAGATAGATGGAATGCTCGTACAGTGTGGGAGACCGGAAGAGTCTTCCAGATTACTGCGGAAATGAGGAGATACAACCTAGAGGTACTTGGGATCAGTGAAACACATTGGACACAAGTTGGACAACAACGACTAACTACAGGAGAGCTCCTGTTATACTCCGGCCATGAAGAAGAAAATGCACCACATACACA